TCCTTGAACATAAGCAGCTGTCCCATCGGTTCCAATGGAAAAGTCTGTTCTGGTCACGGGGTGAGTCTGTACTGGGAGTGAGCAGCTCAGCTTCCCCAGCTCTCTCTGCTCTACCTGATCCTAACACCCGAAAATCTTCCTAAGACCTTTTGATCTCAAAACACAAGTGTTGGATTCAGGAGAAGACTGCCATTTTGTGATGCATTAAAAAAAATTTAGAAAGGAAAGTTCTCAAATTGATTCTGCAATTATATCCAATTAGTTAGGTTTGTTAGTAGCAAGAAAGACCTTTGACATTACTTATTGGAAGGACTTCTGTAATGTACTACCCATATTTCAAGCTACTTGCCATCTTGGATTAAACTTTTTCCTGCACACTAACACCTTTATGAAGCTGGTCTTGTGTTCATAGATTTATAGCCCATGGCTTAAATAATTCAAATTCCAATCTGTGGGTCCTCAGCAGAGGGGGAGTTCTTGAACTGTTCCAAACAGTTCTTAAACAGATCCAAAGTGTATAATTTTACATTGTGGTACATTATGTTCTGTTATTCTGCCCACAACTTCATTTGTCTAAGATGTTAGGTCTGTTTTGATGAACAGATCAGTGTTTTAAATACCAATAAAACCTTTCCACTGTGGGATTCAATGAGACAAATACTTGCCTAAAGGGCTAGGTTTTGTACAAAAAGGAGTTATTTATTCTTGTTGTCTGTACTTGAATATAAAATTCAGTGTTTCAATTTTAGGTTAGGTTCAAAATCAAGAATAACATTTTTAAAATTTGAAAGTAAAGTATCAGGAGATTAGAAATCATCTTGGTATTTTTTGAGAGTGACATGAAGGGTGAGTGGACTATCTTACTTGTTCTGTTTTGGATTATTGCAATTCCTAATTTTAAAAGGGTATTTCAGTTGATCAAACCTGCCATAAAATGTGTTTATCTTCATGTTCTTAGGTAAGATTCTCCAGTGTGCATAATAAAAGTTGAATTAAAAAATCACGTGTATTACTTAGAATAATTTGTGGGTAGGTTGTTTCCTGAGTTTTTTTTCACATTATGTTCCAGTGTCCGAAAGACATTATTAGCTGATTGTCTAATGATTGACTTCATTACTAGTCCTACAATCAAAACTTCATTCTTTATGTCTGTTTCTTGTGTCATGCTTTTTTCCACAGTAACCTCTTCTAGCAGTACCATTCCATGTTATTTTTCATATGGAAAGTTTATAGCTATTAACTCTTACTATTGATTTGATGGTTTAGGTTTTGTCCGCTGGATAGGTTTTTCTGTATCTTATAAATATACTGCCAATTTTAGACTGGTAAGCTCTTTTTTAGAGGTCACTCAGGTAAATGTAAACTGAGGAAGAACTGTTCCCTCTCTTTTAAAAGCCAGACAAGCATTCCTCATTGCTGCTTAGGAAAAATGCTGACAAAAACAGTGAAAATATATCCACTTTGTTCTACATGGGAGAAGGCTGTAAACAAGAGGTTGGAAAGTGTAACCACATCCTGAACTTTTCAAATGCAAATGTTTGTGTCCCTTCTGGGCATCCAGGCTCAAAGTCCAGATAGCTGGCTGGTGAAGATCTAACTAGTCTAGCTAAATTGCTGTTATTTTTCACAGCCTGTGCAGGTGTGTAGTGCCAGGGATGACAGAACCAGTTTTGCTTCTCCTAGCATGTGAGAGTATTAGGGGGGTTGAGGCAAACTTCCAGGTGTGTTATGTAATTCCAAACACTCAGTGCTATTGTTACAATATATAAATAAGTAAGTTTTATACCATGAATTAAATGTCTAATTACATGGTTAAATAAATGTGGTGTGACATGTTAATAAAATGTAGTTAGAAATTAACTGCTGTCACTTTTTTTCCCTAGGTTTGTAGTAATGAAGCCACTTGCATTTGTAATTCCTCCTGGGCTGGAACAGACTGCAGCATTGATGATCCTGTCAGGGATACTGGTGGCAAGAAGGATGAAGGACCCAAGGGTTTGTGTTTTGTTTCAGTTTTTATATTCTTTTAAGTATTTATGATGTTTTTCTGTTGATACATGGTAGTAGAATTAGCATGTTAAAAGGAAATACTGTTGTACAGCTGTGTTTAGACCCAGGCAGTAAAATTCTGCTTTGTGAAGAGGAAGTAGGTTTTTCTACTTTGAGAATTGATAAAACTTTAATTTGGGGAAGATTTCAACAGGTAAAGATTTTTTTTCCTTTGTCCCTTATTCTCTATTTTTTAATGATCTTTTTCATTGTGATTGGAATCTGACTTAGTGTAGCTCTTATTTTTTTTAATATGATAATTGAATATTTATATTTTACTAGAAATTTCATTTTTCTTAGTCAACTAATTCAGAGAGCTGTGGCATAAAAAAGGGAAAAGTGGAATGTCCCTGGTAAAATCTGATTCCTTGAAATTGTATTGCAATGAAAGAAAAAAGAAATTAAGATTTTTGATAACTTAAATTATTCGTACAATCATTGTTGCTTGTTCTTATGTACTTGGTATGCATTTCAACTACATATGAAGTACACATACAAAGAGGAGGTATTAAGGAAATAATCCGAAAGTTTTTTTTCAAAGAGGAAGGGAAGTATTTGAGTTTCTCTCCGATTCCTCTGCCAAAGAATATCTTTGGATATCTTTGGACTTGTGCTGTCCAGTTTTTTTTAATGTCTTTCCTGTCATCAGGGCCCTGTTCAACATCAGACTATATTCATCCAGTCTTATGCATTTACAAGTCCCCAGTTCCAGGTTCTTCTGCTCCATTTGCAAGGTAGATGGAGAAAAGAGATTTTCAAAGATGTAATCCTGAGGACTCAGACTCTAATTGATTACTCTGAAAGGGTTTCAAGAAAGGACAGGATTTTGCTATGTCCCTTTGGAATGGCTCTACATCAATCTTGTGTGCCTTTTCCTGTTACCCCTTGGCAGAATGGTTCCAAGTAGACCTTTGCCAAGAACTGTTTGAAGAGATCATCTTGAAACAAGTTGCTGTTGTGAAGGAGGTCCTGTAGACCAGTCCAGATTTGTATAAGGAATCTGTACAGGTGCTCCCTGTACTCCCAGTCCCAACATTGCTCAGTGTAGAGCTGCCTGGTTTGTACTCTGCCTTACAAGCCACTTTTCATTCCATTTCCTCTAAAAACCTTCCTGACAGCAGAATGCTGCTTAGAGAGTCTTAAAAAAAATAAATTAGGGAGACCAACACTGCAGAGCTGTTCAGTTCTGTGTGTGAGTGGATGAGGAGAGCAGGATTTACAGCTGAGAGCATATGAATTTTACTTTGCTCAGTTCCAAATCTGGTAGGAAAGAAATTATTCCCTCCTCTGTGAAAAGGTCTATAGGAAGGGTAACACAGAAGGTACACTTATCTTAGATAAATTACTGTAAGTCAGATTGCCTCATCAACTTCAGAATGGAGATACCTTAGTGAAAAATAATATATCAACATTGAAATATACTGGGGAAAAAGCCTTAATTGGATGGTATGTGCATGGATTTCTGCCAGCAGGTACAGGCAAAGTTTAGACTGCATTTTTCAGTGGAGTCCTCTGCCAAATGGCAGACTGCTTTTGTTCAAGGCAGCTCAATGATCTCAAAAGATGGATTATTTTTCTTACAGTGTTACAGCAATTTACTGATTTACTGTTACAGTAATTTACTTGAATCACCTAGAAATGAATTTAAGAGACTGAACATTATGATCTCCTTCTGTGTGCTTATAGAGGAATTCCTTTGTGAGAAGATTTCCAAAGAGTACAGTGGTGGTTTCCTCTGTTATAATGACCCAACGTACGCAAGAGTAGCTTCCATTAGGTTTTTATCCCGTATTACTCCCTATGTCATATGCCAGTTTACGAGTCTAAGACAAAACCAAAATAGGTGTTTTTCCTTAGCCATAAAGCTGAATGAAGTGAAACACTCATGATGTGAAAATTCATCTAATAGGTTTAATATTTTTCACACCAAAACTCCAAGCATTTTTGTTGGTACAATTAGAACTTTTTTTAGAGTTAGGGAGTGTTGCTATTTATTTATGTATTGTTTTGATAATTGACAATTTACTGCTATTCTGCTGCACTTTTTAGACTTTTCTATCATCCCTCAATTGCTTTTTGGCTCCATTCTTTATATCAGGATAAAAAAAATGTGGTCCTTCATTATGTTGTATTATTACATGACTCTCAAATTACCCTAAACTCAGCAACCTACTGTATCCTGTACTAGCAGATGTACACAGCATTTAGCAGTTTGGGGGAGACAAAGGGTCCTTGCTGTTAGTTTTTGGTTACTGCAGAAACTTTGAATTACTTAAGAGTGTGGGTTAGCAGTTTTTGAAATCAGTGGGACTCCATATACACATGAGATTCTTGTTTGCAATTGAATTTGCAGAATTAGGCCTTTATTTGACTAGTGGAGTAATATTTGTTTATTTTAATATAGAACTTATGTCTCAAGTGTGTGTGTGTGTGTTTGTGTGTGTATATTTCTGAAACAGGATAAAAAAACCCAAAATATTTTAAAACACACTTCACTCAGCGTGGAGTCTATAAAATCTTTGTTCCTAAGTTCCCATTTGACAGGGAATTCATCTCCTTGGTTGTGGTCTATTGTGACTCCATGAATCTATCAAACTTTTAATCTCTAACATAGGAGATGTACAGCGTTTTTTCCTGAAAAGAGTTCCCTTAAGGATTAAAAGTAAGGCCTTGATGTGTTGAGAGACTATCTGACCATATCAAAATTTCTAGGGTGTTACCTGAAGCATGTTTCTAGGGTAGGTTTTTGCTTTTAAATGGTGTTACATGTTTTAGGTCTTATAGATAAACAGAAAGTCCTATTGAGAAATGCCGTAACAAAGAAAAATATTACTAATTAGTAAAGGAATTACTTTAAAAGTTGGGTTTTTTTGTTTTTTCCTGAGGTGGAATTGTTTCCAAACAGTTTTCATTTTCTTAATTATATTATGGATACAGTAAGTTTCTGGTAATCAAAACCAAAGTTTTTTTATTGGCAATTTATTTACATTTTGGCTGGTTTAAATAAGCAGTAGGTTGAGGATGTTCCCTTTTAGACCAAATAATAGAATCACAAGCTGAAAGGAATTTACAGGAAAACTTCTCATTTAAATATTTGCAAGCACTCAAAGAAAACCAAATAGAGTTCATTTCAGAATTTTTAAAGCTACACTATTTGGTAAACAAAGGTTTGTGATGAGATTTGAATTGTTTATCCAACAGTGGATTATATGATAAAGTATCCCTCTGAGGAATTATTTTATGTTTTCATTTCAGACATATATGTGATGATTTCCTGAAAAATTCTTCCCTTTTCCCTCCACACAGTGAGCATGGCCGCTAACAGGTTAATAGGTGCAGTGGCAGGGACCATTCTGGCCTTGGGGGTGATTTTTGGAGGCACAGGGTGGGGAATAGAGTAAGCACTTTTCTCAGTTTGAGTTCTCTGTCTGGTGCCTTAGTGTGTGAGGTAACCGTATGCACCTGAGCCTCTGTGTTCCCCTTAGCTTTGTTCTGTGGTGACCGTATTTGTCATGTGATTTGTCTGTGTCATGTGGTTTGCTCATGCAGTGTTGAACCTTCTCCTGTCTGGGATAATGTGGGGCATAAAAAAAAAAAGTTTGTGAATTTTTATATTGTCACCATAAAATTAAATGTCTAAATGTTTCCATTACACCAAAGTACCAAAAAAAAAAAAAGGAAGAAAAAAAGAAGGGACTTCTTGATTATTTTGTGAAATAGACTGAGTAATGTGAACCATTTTATTACATGCAGAGCGTTCAGGCTAATGATCAAGCTAGGCAGATAAAAGCTGCTGATAGTCATACAGACAGGTAGTTTTACATTAAAGCTTCTGAAGGTTCTGTTGCTAGGATTCTGTTACCTCAAGATGGCACAGTGCTGGAGTGTAGTATTCATGTACAAAGAATACATATGAGCAATTTTTACTGTCTTTTCAGTTCTAGGAAATGGTAATCCCAAGTGTTGTCCCAGTACCTCAATTTTAACAATGCCTATAATTTATATAAATTTGTGTTCATGTACATATACACATAAAAAGGCCCATGTAAAAGCTGTCTTCATTCTGCATTCACTGTGCAAACTACAGATGGTAAGACTGCTATTTTTCTGCTCTGAGATTTCCATCTTCTCCATGTTTCTAGTTCTATATATGACATCTGGCATGTGACAGTGGCACCTCTCTGAAGGGGGACTCATTAGCAGGACGGTCTGTGATTTCCAATCAGGCCGAGTGCAAAGGCATTCATTCACACACAGTTTTAGTCAGTGAGGCAGTGCTTCATGTGTGAGTCTGCAGCCTGAGGAACCTGTCCATACATGAAACGAATCCAAGATTCTCAAATGAGTAGACCTTTGTGTTCACAGAGGACAATGGTGAGAAAACAAATAGAAGGAAGATGGTAATAGGTAATTTCCTTGAGAAAGATCAGCTCTGTGTTCTACTGGTAGCTTTTACAACTGTTTGCTAAAAACTGAAGACTGTGAAAGTTGTAGAGGTTTGGGGGACAGATTCTGGAGCAGAAGATTTACCTACAAGTTGAGGACCACTTGCCTTTTGCTTACATTCTGCCTTGTTCTCTTCTGTTTGTCTCTTCCCTCACCTGCTGTCTCAAGCCACTCAGTTCTGACCAGTGTCCCTGACCGTTTGTTCCTGCTCCTGCATCCTTCTATACCAACGCCAGCTTTTCTTCATCCCTCCTCTGCTTTTATTGCTCACTACCTGACTCTTTGTTTCTATTCATTCTTTTTTCCTGCATCTCATCAATATTTCTCTGTCCTCTGGTTTCTTCAGATACAAATGTGCATTCAAGGCAAGCCAGTGCTACTTTTTGTTGGTTTGTAGAATCAGGCAGGGAATGCAAATTCCCTCTCTGTTCCTCATGCCCTTCAGGCCCTGCTGGCCCCTGCGTGGCTGCAGGGGAGGGTGTGAGCATCACAGCCTGATGCCAGGACCTGTCCTTCTTCCTTTCTCACCACTTCACTTGCAAATTGTAAATGCTTGTTCAAAGTGCTGAAATAACTTTAATTACTTAATGATTCATGAACTTATTTCCAGAATCATGGAGGACAAAAGAGTCCAGTAGGTTTTTTTTCCAGATTTTGTACCAAAATGGATACTTAGGTTTGATAACTTAAACCAGAGGATTTAGCTGGCAAAGCAACAGGCAAGAAAAGACATCAGATCACCAGAGTTGTTGTTACCTGCAGGACTGCAGTCTGCAGTAAAATTGCCTTTTCTAATACGGCCAGAGTTTCAAATGTTGTGTATTAGTTCTTGTAGAATATATTGGAGGATGATGAAGGTTTTAGGAATAGTATGAGGTCTACTGGAGTTAAAGGTGTGTTCTGCTCTAACACCTTCAGTAGGATTTGTATCAGGGTCTTAAAAGATGGCCAGGGATGGTACAATAGCCAGGCCAGAGCAGTGTCCTTGCAGGAAAAGGAGGTGTGCCAGGCAGTTATCTCCAGGAGATTGCTCCTGATAAATCTGTGTGTGCAGGTTATAGCAGTAGTGTGTGGTGGAAAGAACAAATGTACCAAAGTGTTCCTTCTTGTGATAGTCTGGATGGAAAGTGATCCCACAAGTATGGTGGTTATTAACACCTTCCTCTTACTTCTGGTTTGTCAAGTGTCTGAGTTCAGTGACTAGAGAGCTGAAACATAGGGATTTTTATTTTTCTTCGAAAATATCTTTACTGGTAGAAAATTATGGTTTATTAATAATACCATTTATTTTGTAATGCTTAATAAAACATAAGGCATAGATCCTTACAATAAGGTATAACACATAAAAGTAATCTCATTTTAAATCCTTTTATGTGCACAGTCTGTCTTAAAATGACTCATCAGTGATCCTCTTAGATCTCTGTATTTTGAAACTGGGATTCAACAGTTGGAGGACTCCAGTCTCATAAATAAATGGTTGTTGTTCAGTCATATTACCTATTCTACAGGCTTGTTTTTTAAAAATATTTATACTTTTCTACCTGAACCTAATTGTTTTGTATATTATTATCTTCTGTTTAAATTTATTGAATTATTTGATATTTATAGTAAGCAAAACTAATAGTGATTTTCTTTATTTAAAGAATAAACTGATGTTTGGGTATTAGATGTGCACTATGAAATGGATACACATCCCTGGGCATTTAACAACCACGGAACATAGTGAGAGGCGGGATGTAAAAGAGTTGATTTGGCACATCTTTATCTAATTTATGACTGTTACTAACAATTAATCATTGCACCTCTTTTGTGAGAAGATGGCATTCTATGGCTAGAAAGAATTTTCAAGCCTTATTTATTATAGATTTTCAAGGCAAATTTAGTACAGATAAATCACTTGGTGTGTTTCCAGTCTTTTGTTCTGTGAGATCATTTGATGAATCCAGAGCAAACTGTAGATCTCAGTCAAATATGGTGGCTCATTAGGCTGCTGTTACAAGCCAGCCTTACTTGGAACAACAATGCCTGCAGGATGGCACTTACCCTCCACCATGCTCAAGCCTGTTAAGCCAGGTGTGACTTAAAGGCAAGTTCAAGTAAGATACATTCTTCCAAATTGTGCAGAATTACCTTTTGATTTTTATTGTCAAATTCATGCACTGTTCATCTGTAAAGCTAATTCTATTTTTTTCAGTCCAACTATTTTTTTCATATTCCTGAATACTTTGTGTAGGAACTGCAGGAAGCAAGTTTTAAAACTTGGTTTTCTTTTAGCTAATCAGAATCTCCAGAAGCACTGAGGTGAGAAACATGTAGTGGAGGCAATAAAGTGGCTGCAGTAACTTTTAAAACTTCTAGGACAAATGCTTATTGAAGTGTGTGGGGTGGTGCAGGAGGTTTTGTAATATTGACCTATCAGCTTAAAACTTTCAGTTGTTGCAGCTGCCCTTCCTCTTTCTTTGCTGCTCTCTGGCTGCTCCTCTTTCTTCCTTATATTAGCTGTGCGACGATTTTTCCAAACTCAGCTCAGAGCAATTAATTAGGAAAATTTCAATTGCTATGTAGAAGTGTCAATTTGAGAAGAGTGGGATAGGGGTAAGAGCTGTTTTTGAAGGCTATTCCTGAATATGCAATTGGTTAAACAAAGAGTGTTGTGATATGCTGCAGAAGAACTGTTGAGTTGCTTTCATTTTGCAATTTTTTACATCAAAGACTGCAATAGGAAGTTTTTGTACAGAGCAAATGTTACTCAAGCCTATTGTCAGTTTCCTCTGTCCTATGTAAACACAGCACTTAAGGGTCAATTATTAATATCTTATTTATTGTTCTCTTGCCCTCTTCAGAAAATAGCACGAATATATTTTGTGCTGCTTCTTTTTATTGCTCTTTTTTTCTGCTCCACCCTTCCCCAATTTGTTGTTCAGTAGCTTCTTGAGGATAATGAAGAGATGCTTTGATGTTTTGGCAAGCTTAGTGGAAATAAACTTTTATTTCAACTTTCCTTCACTTTTATATAATCCTTTGCTTTTGTCAAACAATTGTAAATTTAGCATTGATGTAACTGTAGGGTGTCTGGACTCTGATAAGTAAGTGGTGCTAGATGCTCTCAGCTCAAATTAAAATATCTACACCTTTCAGGAGCTCCATGAAAAAAGAGAGGTCTTCTTGATTTTTTATTTCTTTCTCATTTTCTGTAGTCTTAAAACATACAGCATTCATCCTTTTCCCTCTAAGTTAAGAAATTATTCACAACTATCTTAGTGTCCTCAGCTGACAGTTCATGAAGAAGATAATGGAATAAGTAACAATGGAATTCACTGTCTAATACTAGGTTTTTATCTATGGTAGAAGTCAGCATAGCACAATGCAGAGACCAACAGCATTGTTTGTTCCCTTGTTCCTATTGTTAAAGAAAAGTAAGTTAAGCTGGGCTTGTTGAGACTGTCTAGAGGCATCACCTTGTGTGCTGTCTGTATTCCCTGAATTGTTTGACTACCCTTCAGATGCTTCACATAATGTGAATGAAGTCATTGGTTCTTATGTCTGTCTTACCCTAATCCTTTACCACAGGTCCTAGTGCCACCAATCTTATAATAGGCTCCATCGCTGGTGCCATCCTGGTAGCAGCTATTGTCCTTGGGGGGACAGGATGGGGCTTTAAGTAAGCAATGCCGCATGTCTTCTCTTCGGTGGCTCTGGCATTTCTATTTCTTGCTTACATCACTAAATTTTGAGTTCCTGCTACAAGAGTTCCAAGTTAACCCCCCTGACTCTGACTGCTTTAAACAAGAAAAGAAATTACACGTGCAGTAAACAAGCCAAGGAAATGGATTTGAAAATAGCAAATGTTATCAGGGTGCAAAGTTGAATAACAATAAAAGAATTAGGTGAATACATGAAAATAAAATTAACACTTAAGGAACAAGGTCTTTTTTCACCTCCAGTCCATAAATTGAAGCTGATTACATTGGTTGAAAATCCCCCAAAAGATACATTTTTTTATTTTGAATGTAGTAGTACTTTCAAACTGCTCAACTTTTTGATAAGAAGAGATGTCATCTAAATGGTCAGTGGTGGAAGCAGCAGAGTAGTTTTTGGGAACAAATATGTTGACATAGTTGACTCTGGAATAGCAGACCTAACTTGTTTGTGGTTACTGATTTTTTTTTTAAATTGATACACAATTTAAAAAACAAATTCAGGTTTAGAGAGACCATTTTGAAATCTTGAGCTGTTTCCTGAAAGATGAAAGCGTTTCCCAGTTCTAGTTTGATGTATTTTGTAACTATAAGGACTAACAGATTAGTCATTCCACTTGACTACTCTGTTAAAGCAAACAGAGAGTCTTGTACAAAGGTACTTAATTCCTACCCTTTTTGTAGTGTCCATTCTGCCCACATGCATGGTCTGTATTTGGTAAAAAAGTTCTCCCTTTAGAAGCAGTGCTTATAACCTAACAGATCATGGAAGTAATTAAGTACAAGTGATTTCTCATGCCAGTTAAAGCTGCTGTTTCTTTCAATAACATGAATCAAGGTTAAGCCATGTTACAACAATAAGCCATAATTCTTCAAGGAGAATAAATAGTAGTAGTAATAATACTAATTCAAAGAAAATTTTCTATGGCCTCTATTCACATTTCATGTCAAAGTTGAGAAAAAAAAATTATTCCTTAATTGATTAAGGCAGTCATCAAAGTAGAATGTAGTGATAAGGTCATATTTATCTTGTAATTCACTTTCAAAGGTCACCTGAAAATGTTTTACTTCTGGTTTATACTCTTATATTTTTGAAGTTTCAGCTGGCCTTAATTAACTATGCATATAGAAAGAAAATATTTCAAAATCTCTTTCAGGCCTGCTGAAAGCAGCAAATCAGGCTTTACCCTTTCTCCTGGACAAGGCAATTCCTCCCTCTTACACTGCCTTTCACTGTTGCTGTTCTCTGAAAGACTCAGCCACATTCATTTTTCTCTCAGTTCTTGTTTGGAGGGTGCCCATGGGAATTAACCAAGCTAGATTCTGCTGGGAAAAAAAAGTTGGCTTACCCTTTTGGATGAGTTTTCTATGTAAGAGACATTTGTCCATTACTTAGTAATTCATAGACTTTGCAGAAACAGGGTGTGCATCTCTAGATGATAGGCTTGTATTGCACAAGGTAGTTTGCTGAAAACAAAATACATGTCATGAAAATATAATTTGTCAGTTCTTCCTCTGAGTCTTTTTAAGCTGCTTTGTGCCCTCTGCCATCAGCACTGCAGCCCCTGCCTCCAACAGACACAGAGGTTGAGAACTTGCATGAAAGAGAGGAGTAGGACAATCCCTCCCTGTCTAAAACAATATAGGATGTAATTGATTATTTATTTGTGTTTCACACTTCTCAAACTGCTCTCTCACAAGTGATCAGCTTTGCACCCTGGTGTCATTTGTTTGCCCAAAGGGAGAAGCTTGTTATGCCTATAGAGGATCTGCACTGGAAATGCCTCTTGAAGCTCTTACTCTAACAATAGCAAGATACAACTGTTTATTCTGTAGCAGAACCTCAAATAACACTGGCCTGGCCTAGCTCACAGCTTGAAGTGCATGTTTCTTTTGGGGGCCAGAGGGGAACAGAAGAGGCTTTTCAGCTTGTACACAAAGAGGGCTAGCACATGTAGACCCCAATACTTGGCTTCAGATAGATCTGGAGGGACAGATGAGGATAATAAAGGGATTTTAACTTTTCCTTTTTTTAAGCAAGTGATATATTTAGTCTCTGCAACTATGAGAGAAGGTAGCTAATGCTTTACAAACTGGGAGATGTGATTTCTGTTTCACAGGTTATCAGATGTTCATATGAACATACGGTACTGTGGTGTCAAGTCCATATCAAACGTAAGCTGCAACTAAGCAAACTTTGTTCATGAACTGAGGTGGGGGGTGGGGGTTGGAGGGAAGTGTTAAAGAAACCTTGATGCAAGATCAGAGGAAAAAAAAAGTAAAAACAGCTCAACAAACAACTTCCAGTTTCAAGAATGAATCTAAGGTTAATTTTAAATCAAGTTAATGTGTGGACAGAATAGGAAATAAAAAGTTAACTGACCATTTTACAGAATGTAGAATCTCATTAGGCATTTGAGGTAGCTTAAAGGCTGTGGGTAGAAACCTTGTTAAGAAGTAGATTTTACTCAGCTGAGCCTTGCATAGTACTTTTAAATCTGTTTAAGTACAGCAGTAAGAACTTGTTTTTGGCGTAACAAGTCTGTGCAAGGTTTCAGTATACAGTGTTTAACATAGAAAGGACATTTTTACCATTAGAGTAGCTCAGGGGCCTACATTTTTTTCCCTAGCATATATTCACTCACTTCTGCTAAGCTACTGTAGTAATATAAGTCAATTAATGCTTTCGTTACTGACTTTAACAGCAATTTTGGTAATAAACACTGCTAAGAGGTAAATATTAAGAAGAGTGATGTGGAAATGTACATGCAAAGCTGCTGCTTGTTATAACAAATACAAAAGTGGCAGATAGATAATTGATTGTAGGCACAATTCTACTTCCAGCAATTGTTCTTGGCTAAAGAGCTGCAAGGTTTTCTGTTTCTTTAATAGAAGATTAATGGAGGAACCAAAGAACTACCCAGCTATAACAGATGCTGAGGTTGAACTGGTCTGAGCGGTTGTGTTTAGACCCCAAAGGTTTCCACAAGTTAAAGTAGTGGAATGCTGGTGGCAATTCCTTGAGGAAGGAGGTTTTGGTCCCTTACCAGCATTTCCACCAAGCATGAATTGTGAACCAAGATCCAGTCATCATTGCACAAAGAGCAGCTAGAATCAAACATGAGATTTTCTCATTTTTTCCCCCAAACTACATGAATAAATGGGAGGTCAGTGTCTTATTTTAAGTTACTTTTTTTAGTCCCTCGTTTTGGTAATTTTAATGAGTTTTGTAGCAAAAGTTAATTTATTTAAGGTCTTCTTCAGCATTTGAACCATGCTTTAGGAATGCCTATGAAAACATTAGCTAGCTGAAGTGATTAAAATACTGGGTTTGCATAAAATCTTCAATAAAGCTTTGTGCTTACATGATGACACACATTTGCAAGTAACATACTCTGTGACCATGGTCCTAGTTAGTTGCACAAAAGAATGCAACTGATTGCAGCAAGGTATTTCTTGAATACAGCCAGCCCTTTTTGAAACCTTTTGAAACATTTTTAACATTTTTACAAAAATTTTTTTTTGTAAACATGACCATGTTAGGCGGTGATGTGCTGTAGCATGGAGTGCTTTTTGACTAAAAATAACCTATGCTTTTCATTTTGTTAAACACCCTTTTTCTGGTTGGATTACAGACAAAGGCTGACTCTCATTTTTTAAAGAGGCATTAAAACTTGAAATGCAAACACATGGAAGTTCTAAGATCTTCCACATAAACCAACAAAGGACTAGGAAGTAGCATCATTCTCATGTGTGTCCTTCCCTAGAGGACACTTCTGCCCCCTTACCATTTAACTGAAGCATAGCAGAAGGAACCTTGTACTGCTATAACTCAAAGCTATAAATGGTGGAAATATCCAGAACCTGCTACTCATCTACTCTCCTTTATTGTAATTTTCTTGGGAAGAGGGAGACTTGATTTATTTGCCAGTTTAAGTTAGACTACTAATTGTCTTCATTTTTGTATTAAAAAATGGTAATTCAGGATGAATTTGTTAAAGTAGGTCAGGTAATCAGAAGAGAATTTCAATTCATGCAGGGTCACACCTCCCTGCTCACCTCTGAAGTGCTGCGATGGCAGCTCTTGTTAAAGCTTTGCATGTGTGTACTGTTTCCTTATTGACACTGTACCCCATGTTCCCTATTTCAGGCTCTTATTTTAGTTCTTCACATGTTTCTCTCCCTCATACAACACTGTTAGCAGAATATCCTAAGTGAAGAAAGGCAGTGATTTGGTCAGTATCTTGTTCCTCAAAGGCTGTATTTCTGCTGAATAAAACTAGGAAATAAGTAAATATATGGTTTGGACAGAATGCATGATGAGGTTTGTACTAGAACACTAGACTAGTGAAGATCAGGTTAGACCAGAACAGATAAGATAGAAGAGTTTTGTTAGATTGTACTGGGACGCTAGCATAGCATCTGTCCTCTGTAGCATGTTCCAAGACTTTATAAAGTCCATTTCTTTAATTAAATAAGCTCAGGTAACAATGTAATTCAGTGTCTGTTTTAAGGATTGGTCTTCTTCAAGCAAGTGGGAATATGGTACTTCCCATATAGTGGAAGGACAAGTTATGTCACCTGGATTTTTCATCTGCATTATTGATTTAAAAGAATGGACTAATTAGTTGTTTATCAGTAGTACTTGAATTCAAGGATGCTAGACAGTATTTAAAAGGAGATGGGGAAGAGAAGCAGACATGTCCTTTTCCCATTGAAACTGGCAGGACAAGCAGATACACAGCAGCCTTTAACTCATATTTAACCAAGTTCTGTAATATTCATACTTCCTATCTGTCAGTTTTGCAAGTTGGCCTGAAAATTATTTTCCTCATCTCAAATTTACCTGTAGTTTAGAGGACAAGGAATTGAGATACTGATGTAATATCAGCCTAATTTCAAAGGAGTATTAGTACAGTAATCGTCGAGGGGAAAAGACTGAAAGGTGAATACAGTAATCTGCTTTCAGAAACTAGCAGTTCTTAAGCATTCATCTTGTACAAATCCAATCACAGGTATCCAAGGAAAAAACCAAAATCAAGGATGCCCAAGAATTACCAGCCTCTGGAAGTCCTCTCAAAAAGAAGTTGCCTTTGCAATAGTCTCAAACCACCAGTTAAACCTTACGTATAGTAGAATAAATATTGTAGCAGTGGCAGAAGTTAGCAGGGCTGCAGAAGATTGAAAATCCAGGGGCTGGTCTGTAGCTTTAGGGAATATATGAATTCCTGTTCTGTATTTTTTGCATGTTGGTTTGGTGGTGGTAGTGGTGTGTATACCCAATGGTAAAACTAAATGCATGAGCCCCTTGCTTGATGCCCCACATAAAGCCAGATACTGGGGAAGTTGCACCCAACTTTTGTTGTTGCTTCCTAATGTCTTGCTGTTTGACATAGGACATCACCATCGCAGGAGATTGGATGTTACCAACTTGCTGCCCACTGTTAACATTCCGTTCTAATCACACAACTGACAAAGCTGTCCAGTCTCCTTCGAATGCAATGTCTCAGCTGTCTTTTGCACCTTACTCAGACTCACAGCACTTATGGTCAATAGTGTGGTAAGAGCTCACAAAGGCACACTGGATTACATAAACTAAATTCTGGTGTAGCCAGAGCTGGGCACTTGCTCTGAGAACTCAAGCCTCTGCAGGCTGAAGTGTTGCCATTCCTGGCACTTGTGACTCATTCTCTTTAGGTAAACATGTGCATTCTTGGCCTACTGCACACATGTTTTACTGGGAGCTGAAAAGTTCTACAAATTTAGAGCACCACTTGAAATACTACAGAAATGATCGATTTCTGTATGCCAGCATGATCTTTAAGCTGCATAAGGAAACCAGTACTTGGTATCATGTTGTACAAAGCATGTAACCAAATTCCTTAAATAGTTACCCCTTGTAAAAGTTACCAGTTAAACTGTCAGTGTGAGCCTTTTACTTTACTATGACCTTAGCAATGGCTTTGTTCTTGTTATATCTAACTAATGTCTTGCTTTTTTCTCTTTCCATCTCCTTTTGATGCAACTGGAAGAAATGTCAAAAAACGAAGGTTCGATCCAACTCAACAAGGCCCTATCTGAAGAAATGCCATTCAAAAAGCTGCTTCTTGCACTACTGGATTTTGGGTATGATGTCTTTGCGGTAGCTACACAGGAACTAAATCCGTATGGAAGAACATGAGAACAGTAACTATAAACACAAAGTTGGGATGTTGAGATAAATTGGAAATACTTCCTCTATTCACCTTTCTCTTGTTAACATTAACTGAATTAACTGACAAGTGGTACAAGCAAACTGCTTCAAAAAATCAGGTGTTTTTTTTCCTTTTCTCAAATTAAGAAGGAGACACACAGATCAAATGCAATAAGAGAACTGTTCCAAAATAATGGAATTGCAAAAGATTCTTTCCCAGCCTGCTGGCACTCTAACTTCACTTGAGTTCGCATGACTTCCTTTTTCTTATCAA